GGGCAAACTTTCTCCAACTTGCTGCCTTCCAGATGCAGCAACCTATTCTAAGAGGCGCCCTGGATTTGGGGCTTCTGGGATTTGTAGTCCTCCAGGCACACGCCCAGCTTTCCAGGATGGGGAGAATATGGAATTAATGTGGTGTTTTGATTTGCAAATGGCTTTCCAGGATGGTTTTTTTTTTTTAATTTTATTTTGGAAGCTGCCTCCAGTAGCAATTATATGAAAATGTCATGTCCTGGGTGTAATCTTCTCTTAAAATAATAATAATAATAATAATAATAATAATAATAATAATAATAATAACAACAATAACAAGAAGAAGAAGAAGAAGAAGAAGAAGAAGAAGAAGAAGAAGAAGAAAAAAGGGGGTTATTAATTTGATAGCCTTCTGACATCCCCCAAGGCTCCTGATTTTCCGCTCATGTTTAAAATACCAGGCAGGGAAGATCTGGAGACTCCGCAAAACGATTCGATTCATAATTGGGCAAAAGAGGCCATAAACTGACTCGCTTAACGACGGCCTTGCTTAGCAACGGAAATTCTGGTCGGAACTGGAGGGCACCCCTCCCCCATTCCTCATTTAATCCAAACGCTTCCTTGAAAACGGCAGGGGAGGGTAGGGGAGGCACACACACCCCCAGGGCTTTCCCTCCCTAGCGGCGTTTCCAGTAAATTGGCATTCTGGGATAGACTTCTCCTGCATAGGGAGGCTCCCTCGAAGCTCCCGATCAACCTCTCCCACATAAACTTGCTTTCCTCGCCTTAACGCGACACTGCCTACCCCCCACCCACCCACCCAAGAGTTATGGCGGGGCTACTCCCAAGGCAAGGATGATGGTCGCTGTAGTCTAAGAGCAGGAATCCCCATGTTGGGACCTCAAGGCAAAAGCTAAAGACAAGGCTGTCTGTCTTTCCCCACCTTGTGGCCATGAGTTCCACAGGCTAGATTAAGCTCTACCAAAAGGAAGGCTTTCCTGTTGACAGGAACCAGGGCAAAAATGAGCTACTGTTGCTGATTCAAATGATTACCAAAGGCATCTATCTATCTATCTATCTATCTATCTATCTATCTATCTATCTATCATCTATCCATCCATCCATATATCTATCTATCATTACCTACCTATCTACCTACCTACCTATCTATCTATCATTTATCTATCATCTATCTATCCATCCATCCATCTATCATCTATCTATCATTACCTACCTATCTACCTACCTACCTACCTATCATCTATCTATCTATCATCTATCTATCTATCCATCCATCCATCTATCATCTATCTATCATCTATCTATCCATCCATCCATCCATCATCTATCATTACCTACCTACCTATCATCTATCTATCTATCCATCCATCCATCTATCTATCATCTATCTATCATTACCTATTTATCTATCTTATCTAGCATCTATCTATCTTATCTATAATCTATCCTTCTCTCTCATCTATGTATCTATGTATCTATCTATCTTACCTATCACCTATCATTCTATCTATCTATCTATCTATCTATCTATCTATCTATCTATCTATCTATCCATCTAATCTATTCCTCCCCTGTCTATTTTCTATCTTCCTTCTTTTTCGAAGCAGCCGAAAGCAGAAGAAATGCGAAGCGTTTCCTTTTAAGCGATACGTGCCAAATTTCCGAAACTTTCTCATCGCCTTTGGAAAGGGTTTGTAAATGGGATGAATACAGGGATGGATGAGAGATGATTGGTCCCTCCCTCGCTTTATCAATGAGTTCTTTCCAGTTAGGAGTTGTCATCTGAGACGCAGCCTTTCTTTCACGGAAGATATTAAAGACAAATAAAGCAGCAGTAAAAACTATCACACCCCGAAAATTAAAAATGGGGAGACGTCTGGATTACTCAAGCTGCCTGTCTGGAATTGGGAAATGCTAGAATTGGCATCGAGAGGAAGCAAAGAAGTTTCATTTTATAGCACTGGCTGGAATTTATACAGGCAGTCCTCGACTTACGATGGTTCATTTAGTGGCCGTTCGAAGTTGTCCTGAAAGAAAGCGACTTACGACCGTGGTTCACGCTTACAACCAATGTAGCATCCCCGCAGTCAGAATTCAGCCCCTCGGCAACAGACTCGTACTTATGACTGGGAGGGAAATCCTCCTTTTACAACCATCCACGCAGCCAAATCCACGGGGGAGAAGCCAGATTCACTTAATGACTGCGAGATGCGCTTCCACAAAGTGTCCTGATTCCACTTAACAACCGTGGCACAAAAAGGTCATAAAACAGGCAAAACTGACTCCATGTTTCACTTTGCAACAAAAGTTTTGGGAGCTCGGATATTGGTCGTATGTCAAGGACTACTTAAATTTTAATACAAGGGCTCCCGAAATAAAGATGCAAAAGTTGGAATATTTTTTTCTTTTCTTTCCAGAGGAAGAGATCATAGAGCTTCCCAGGAGAACCGTTTTAATTTAAATTTTTAAAAAAGCGAAGTTTGAGCTGGAGGAAACAATTGGGAAGTTTTTAGAAACAACTACGGAATATAAAGTATCCCACAGCGGGTGGAAAGGAGTCCAAATAAATAAGCCAAATGAAAAGAAACACTCCTGCAAAAGTTTGATGCGGGGAAACAATGTTTTTTTTTCTCTCGACCTTGCAAACAAAAACATTGATTTTTTTTTCCCCAAGAGTTGCTTTTATGAGTCACTTACCCAAAAAACGTCCATGGCAACGGAAGACAAAGGGAATCTGTCTGCGTGGAAGAAAAAAGGAGGAAAAAAAAAAAGAAATATAGGATTAGGAAAATAAATAGGGAATTGATTCCCTGCAAAAATGTAGGAAATGGATCCTATGCTATTTAGTTGCATGGGGGAAAATATATATATATATATATATATATAGTTTTTTTTTCCATGCAACTAAATGGCAAAGGGTTAATTTCTTTGCTCAAAGGATAAAATTTAAATATCTTGATCAACACTTGGGACAAGTCTGTAAATATCAAATCGTTGTGCATTTAGTCCTCGACGTTACGACCATTTGGTTTAGCAACCGCTCAAATAAATTACACCCTCCCTAATGAACGGTGGCTGGTCCTCGCACTTATGACCATCATGGCATTCCCCACTGTCCTGGGATTGGCAACTTTCCCACAAGCTAATGGGGCTAAGTTTGGATTTGCTTATTCCAAGCAAAGGGTTCACTTAAAACCTTGCAGGGATTCGCTTAAGGACCGCAGCAATTCGCAAAAAAAACCGAGGCAAAATGGCTGTGAAATCCTGCGTGACTCACTTACTGTCTTGCTTAGGAGTAGAAATTCTACTTCCGGCGGTGTTCATCATTTGATGTGTTAAATGATAATGAAATAATGATTGGGTGGCATTAAATCCGTTTTCTCAGACTTGGCTCCTTGAAGAGGTGCTGGCTGGGGGATTCTAGGAGTGGAAGTCCATCCTTCTTAAAAGAGGCCGAGGTTTTACAGCCGCTGGGCTAAATAATTATTGAATTTCCTTGTGTTTTTCCCAGCCCACCAAAGAAAAAAAAAGGCCATTTTTTCCTTTCGGAGCCCTGAGTTGTGGTGGCGATCAGATATACCCATTTCACAGACGGGGAAAACCGAGGAAACTCCCACTCTGGGAAATCCATAGGGATTGCAGGCCGTAACTCGAAATCTGCCTGTCCTGGGAGGGAGCTAGACAAACAGGCTTGACTGGGGTTACGCAAAAAGAAGGTGGCAACACCTTTATCGCAATGGGGTTGGAGGGGGGGAGTGTCCGCCTCCTACGATATCCGGTTCCTTCCTTCTCCTCCTTCAGGTGTTCTGACCAAGGCTTCCTGAGATCATAATTAAGCACACACTTAGTTTAAAACAACTCTTGTTTGATTTCAACGCTGGGAATTATGGGCATTCCCAGCTTGTAATGAGTC